GTAGCAAGATGAGAAGTGCGTATATTGAAAAGTTTTCGGTAGGCTTGAAACGTGTTTGCAAGTCATGAATTTTATGAGTTGAAAGGCGAGATCCTTTAAAAACCTCATAAAAATCAGTCCCAATTTATTGTGCCTAGGCCCTCCTAACAAATTAACATACCTGTGTCTTTTGCGTTTCATCTAGGGAAAAATAGCTCAGTCAAAAATAAAATTAACTCTAGACTGCTTTGGGCTTAAAGCGTAATAGTGACGACACAAGCGCGCTCTAACAGTTCGCGCGCGACAATTTTTTTCGACAATACTCAATTGACCACTCCAGAAAATACCATAACATACCGTAATGCTCTTTGTTTGTCACCCCCAAATTTTGCATAATCATTGTTTTCAGTTTCTCTTGGGCCATTTTAACTCCCACGAGAAACTGAAAACACTGCTTATGCAAAATTTGGGGTGTCAACCAAAGAGCATTATGGTATGTTATGGTATTTTCTGGAGTGGGCAATTGCAACCAGTTTTCAAGGACTGTAACTTCATTCGACCCCTTGTTAAAGAATAAAATATAAGGGAAGAGGAGAGTGGGTTAACAGAAGGATGCACAAATGAATTTGTTTCAGGTAGCATGAACAAATGAGGGTAGATTTTCTTGTCTAAATTCAAGATATTCACATAGATCAGTCTTACAAGTTCTGGTTAGTATCTTAAGTAATGACTGTTATAAGTAACATTCAGAATATTAAAAGGTTTTTATACTAAACGTGAAGCTTTGTGATGTAACTGTTTGAATAACAGTGATATTGACATTGTTAATAAAACGCGATCGCTGTGGTCATTGGAGAGCTTGAGCTGATCAACAAGGGAGTGAGCGAGTACCGTAAAGAGTACCAGGGGGCAGGGAGATTATGCAGATACAGAGTGTTGTTGGAAACTGCGCATATCTCACGAAAAGTGCTGACAATTTTTTTGTTTGTATGTTTGTTTGTTTCACACGAAGGTAATCGAGATCTAAAGTTCGGACAAGCTGCGACTGTCTCCAGATTCCGAAACAGCTGACAACTTTGCTAACTCTATTGTGACAATTTCGCAAGAACCAACAACCTGGAGAGAAGTGATTACTATTTAACAAAAGAGTCGTTAATTTTCCGGGCTGTAATTTTTTTTACTGGTATAACTGCTCAAATCTTTAACTGAGGCGGTTTCTTGACGGCGAATATCTCTACGTCGAATGGACCAGAAGGATACCATAATCGTGTAATTGAGAGATATCGAGGTCAACTAGCAGAGCTCGCTTGTGCAGCTTAGAAGATAATGTTTAATGAGTGGTTCATCTGAGTGAAAGGTCTTCTTGAACATCAGGACACGTTTTTAACTTTTGAGAACGAACTGTGCCATATTACGCGTACCAGGCGCCTCTCTAAGAAAGATTTCATGGTCTAAAATTATTATCAGCTTGCGATGAATCTTCACTACTTTGTTAATGCTGTATAAAGAAAAGGCACTTCCTGCCTAAAAACGCCCTGCTTCCTGTCGTAATCCAAATCGAGCGTCCCATGTCTGTACACACACAGTAATTTTCAAGGAGTTATAATAACTCCTCTAGTGAGGTTAATTTAGCTCCTTACGGTGGGGTATTTTTGGGGAGTCATTTTAACTCCAAAAAGGAGTTTAAAGAACTCTATTTCAGGAGTAAAAATGACCCCAGATATTCAGGAGTTAAAATAACCCCCAAAAAGGAGCTATCCTGTACCTAAAATTTTTACTCCACTTTCAGAGTTAAAGTAACTCCAAAAAGAGTAAAAACAACCCACGTCAGGAGTAAAAATAACCCCACTTTCGGACTTATTTTAACTCCAGACTGGGAGTAAAAAGAAATCTTTTTCAGGAGTAAAAATGACCCCAAATTTGGAGCTAGATTAGGAGTTAAAGTAACCCCCGACAAGGGGTTATCCTGTACCTAAAATTTTTACTCCATTCTTGGAGCTATAATAACTCCCTAAATATTACTGCGCACTGAGTTTTCAGCTTTTTCTTCCATGATCAGTGTCAGAGATATCAGTTAAGGGCTAAATACCATATCTCAATTGGGTAATAAAGCTGTTCAGGCATAAGGGATCAAGAAGGGTTGGTTTTTTTTATTACATGCACTTAACACTGAGCGTACCCTTTCTAAGCTGACCAAGGCATTAGGTTGCTACAGCATTAAAGTAAAAATTGGAAAAAAATCAATATCTTCACAAGTAACATTCACATTGTACATTTTTTTTTACAGTTGAGAAAAAAATCAAATAAAGTCATCAAAGTATATATTAATCAAGGTTCCAATAGCAAGATACAACATACTTTGGAAAAAGATAAATCGGAAATGCAGGTTTTGCTTGAGGGACAACTACAACTCTAACATTGCACAAGAATGCTTGTCACTTTAGAAGTACTTCGAACAAGTGTTGTTACAAGGCAGTCGTATTTCCCATCTTAAGCATTGTTTGAGCTGGTGATGTTCGACCATTGCATCCACAATGATAAGTTCCTCATCAGCACTGACCACCAGGCAACTGGAGAGGAAATTCCAGATGCATCGCAATACAAAAACACGTTATTGCCTTATATACTCGACGTCTCGTATGTGTTGCTTTACAGACGCTGGAACTAGAAAAAGTAATTAACTTAACTACGAATTTATAGTTACTGAACAGTAATCCATTTTAAGATCTTACATTGCACTTTGATGCTTGTAACCTTGACATCAATACCACAAGTGTTGTTTGCAAAGCACTGGTAGTGTCCCATATCCGCTTTAGTGATACTAGTAATGTTTAGCCACCTATCCTGTCCGATTACTCCAACGCCAATCTTTGACCATGCCACAACCGGAGCTGGAAATCCCATCGCATTGCACTTCAAAGACGCACTTTCACCTTCCACGACAGTCTCGTTATCTATTTGATTTACAAACGCTGGAACTAAGAAAAAAATGTATATTATTTCTTTTAATTATACATAATTTTACTGATAACTAACACAGGTTACAAAATTTAACCAAGGACCACAAATAAAAAACACAAGCGTCACATGAAGTTAGGGCTACTGGAAAAAGGAAATTGAGCATCATCGAAGTCACATTCATTTCAACCAACCCGAAATTCATATCTTAAACATCAACATACCTAAATGCACATGCATCAAATTCTCTTAACTTCTTTATTTTTAACGTGCTCAGCACAAAACATTGCACATAAGTTTACCTCCAACAATCAAAGTGATGCTATTGCTTATTCCACTGCCAAGTGAATTGTTAGCCTCACATCTGTAAATAACATGCCTCGACTTGTTCAGTGGCCTTATCCATACTCCTGAAACGTCCATATCGACAATGGTATCATCTTCATACAGATAATATTTGTTAACTACTGGGTTAGCATCAGCTATACATGTGAACTTTACAATCCAACCCAGACATGTCTCGTTGCTTGTAACATTTGCAGTTAAAAGAGTATTTTTTGGTGTATCTGCAAAAAAAGGAATGGATGGGAATTAACTTTCTTCAGTTAACCATATCAAGTCAGGCACTATGTCTGTACATTGTACGTTAATCTACCACAATTTAATTAGTAACATTTGGTGTTACTTGTAACACTAGACTACGAGTAGTCCCCCATTTGTCCTCAGGGATAGTAGAGCAAGCGAAACGCGAGCGCGCGTGAAAATCACCCCACGCGAGAAAAGGCGACAACGCGTCTCGCTTTTCTCGCGTGGGGTGATTTTCAAGCGCTATGGCGTTTCGCTCGCTCTACTATCCCTGAGGAAAAATGGGGGCCTACTCGTAGTCTATTGTAATACATATTCATTATTAGTATTTTTCTTATAAATCTTCACTTAAGATTTACCACTCATTCACGAATAAAAATAGGATGTGTTATTGGTTAACAACTCGACTACACTAAACACAGACAGATTGGCCTTTGAAATGATTTAAATGCCCTGTAAACTCCCGTATACAATAGTAGAATTTGAAAGGACTTTATTTTGCAGGCTCTCACAAAAATGGAAAAAAAATTGTGAAACTGGTCCTGCATTAAAAAAGACTCGGCCCTTACGACGTTGCCTGTAGATGAACAAGTGGTTCTAGAATAAATAACACTTGGTGGAACGATTTCTGTTGACAAGGTTATAGGAAAAAAGTTATGTCAAGTCATTCATCCCAGTAAATAATAAGTATAAAATTCAGTAACTGTAACTTACTATATTGTAATCTGCAGTACAAAAGTATAGGGTGTTTAATCTGTATCTTGTTGTGCTCTCTTACTTGCGCCCTTTATTCATAGGTGTTATAGAGTACAGGGCCTAAGCCAACGATATGAGATATATAGAAGTGGTTGCAGTAAGTCCCTCTGTGAACTTTACAGGGCGATGACTGCTTTTTAAAAGCTGACACAATCAGTTGTGGAAAACATTCCAGTATAGTTCTTCTCTTCGTTTTAGACAAAATTGTGAAATGCTAGTTTCAAGGGAGCGAACTGGCTGCATCGTAAGAAATTTTACAGGATTCCTTTTCCCATTCCTCCTCCCTAATTCAATGACATTCACCCCATACCAGACTGAGGAGACTTTTTACAGTGCGCACGTTCCATACAAGGGGTTACTTACAAAAGTCTTCAATGATAAGTCAAGTTAAAACAAAGGAAATACAAAACTAACAAAATAATAAACATTAATTATTCAATCACCAAGTTCTGCGATTGTCAATCAAAAGAATACTTTGGAGTTCTCAAACAAACTCAAATTGTCAAGCTTACTGAAGAGTAATTCATTTTAAGATCTTACATTGTACGTTAATGCTTGTAAACGAAACATCACTTCCACAAGTGTTGTTTGCAAAGCACTTGTACTGTCCCCTATCCTCTTTAGTGATATTAGTGATGTTTAGCCACCTATCCAGACTGACCACTCCAACGCCAACCTTTGACCACGCAACAAATGGAGCAGAAGATCCCATCGCCTTGCAGTTTAAAGACACACTGTCACCTTCCACGACAGTCTCGTTACCTATTTGATTTACAGACGCTGGAACTGAGAAAAGGAAAGAAAAGAAAGAGGAAAAGCTTAAAATGATTGAACAATTGCAAAGTTATAACGCAAAGTACAAAGCCGTCAAAAACACTGAAATAACTGCTTTTCTTTTGTTTTCTATTTTTTTTTTCTACTTTGGAAAAGGAAATAAAGGAAGAGTAAAGGAGGGTAATAAGGCGCATGCATTTAGTACAATGAATTTTGATATTTTGTACATCTAATAAAATGGCTGTTAAGTGGCCATCCAGTCCTCAGATTTATTTGCCCCAATGATGCAATCCATGAGCCTTTCCTCTTCACTTTCATGGGTTTGTAGTTGTACAAGCAACGAAAGACTGTTTTAATGCTGAATCTCAGTGTAGTTGTAACGTCTAACATGTAAATTAAGACAATACAACCAAGACCAAGGAGGTCAGATAATTTGCCACAATCAATTTAAATCTCCTGATCCGTATATCTGCATGTGCTTTGCTAAAAATTTGCTACAAGTCAATAAGTAAACGTACAAAAAAGCCGTTGTGAAATATCAAAATCTATTTCATTAAACACCCTATACTGAGCCTTACCTCCAACTATAAAAAGAATGCTATTGCTTTTTTTATTGCCCAGTGAATTGTTAGCCTCGCATCTGTAAACAACATGGTTAGATTTGTTTAGTGGCCTGATCCATACTCCTGAAACGTCCATATCGACAATGGTATCATTTTCATACAAAGAATATTTGTCGACTGCTGGGTTAGCATCAGCTGTACATGTGAACTTTACAATCCAACCTAGACATGTTTCTTTGGTTGTGACATTTGCAGTTAAATTAACATTTTCAGGTTTAACTGCAGAAAGACAAAAAGAGAAAAATAGATCAGCAAAGAGTAGATCGTTACATGGTCGGCATCCATAACAAGAACTATTTATGGATATGTTCCACCACAAAGTCTTGAAGCCTTTCTACATGGAAAAAATAATTTTATTTACTATTAAGCTACTAAAAATTAGATGACACTGTCCCTTCAAGAGAGCGTTCATTTCGAGCCTGCAGCTACAGTCCGCTTAAAACCCATTTTAATTAAAGAGGTCAGCAAACTAAAGTTAATTACAGAACTCTCAAGCCAACTAAGACTAAAGAGTGATCAATTTTAAAATCTTACATTGCACATTTATGCTTGTAACCTTGACATCACTCCCACAAGTGTTGTTTGCAAAGCACTGGTACTGTCCCCTATCCGCTTTAGTGATATTAGTGATGTTTAGCCACCTATCCTGGCTGATCACTCCACCGCCAGTCTTTGACCATACAACAAATGGGGCAGGAAATCCCGTCGCATTGCAGTATAAAAATACACTGTCACCTTCCACGAAAGTCTTGTTCTCTATTTGATTTACAGACGCTGAAACTAAGAAAAGAATGCATATTACTTTCCATTGTACATAATTTTTACTGATAATAAACAAAACTGTACTTTAGAATGACAAATAACATAAGCGTCATATCCACAGAAAATAATTACCAAGAGGAAAGCTGATAAAAACACCTATTAAACGACAGAAGACTAAGACTGAACATAATGACTGAAATCGTATTGCTATACAGAAGCTAAAAGTTATAACTTTATCACTGGTTTTACATCCACTCATACAAAGAACAAACCTTCCAAAAAAACAAAAACATAAGGCAAAACGAATGTACCCATAGAAATGTAAACACGACAAATTATAATGATGATGATGATTGCGTGGTTCCGAATAACAAAAATGCTTTATACATTTACGGATGTTTCTTGCAGTTACGGACACTTTTGCAGGTTAGTTATTGTAATTGTTGTTATTAAACGTGACTGAGATTCACTACTGTTTATAATTTAAGGTCAATGAGTAATGGACAAAACCACCTTCGGAGACCCAGTCGGAATAGGGCGCGATTATGCTTGCTATGCTCGCGACTCGACTGACTGCCCCTGGGTTTCCGAGGATGTGAACAAACATACTTTTTATGAAACTAATGACTCGAGTTATTACATTCAAAATGTTTGGGTAAATGAAATGTTTTTCAAGAAAAAGAATCAGCTACCGTTGGCAATGTTAATACGAGTTACATATTTGCTTTTAAGTATATACCATATATTGAACATGTGACCTGTGGGGGTGTCACTCTTGTCATACCCGACACTTTTCTATCACTTCTTTCACAATTTGAAGATGCCCTGGTTATTTACGAGAACTGAGGGTAATAAGGTAGACGTAACTTGTGACCTAAAATATTTAAAGCGTCACGAAATCATATAAGATCGAAATTAACTACTTCATGATATGTTTCCTCTGACAAAACTTACCATTTACAGTCAGGGTCACATTGTTTAAACTTGTTACGTTCCCTACAGCATGTAGTGCAATGCAGCTGTAAACATGTTTTCCTCCTTTGGATATCTTTTTAATCCACATTCCACTTTTGCTTCGACTGATTTCGACATTTTTCTCGTAAAGAACAAAGTTATAAACTGCTGGATTGGCTTCAGAAGCCACACAGGTGAAATTTACCCACAAGTCAGAGCAATTTGTGTTCTCAGTTGTGTTAACTTTTAATTCAACAGAATCAGGTTTATCTGAAAAAAAAAATCAATGACGAATGCTTAAATAACGGCATTCCATTAAATAATTAATTCAGGATTGCTGGTAGTACATATACTAGTTATTAAAAAGATGTCACACAAATAACGTCACAAAAAGTGGCATTACTGAATCTTTAATACGAAAATTAAATAAGACTTTGGCGTTAGTCATTAGCAGAATGATAGAATCATTGTTCAAGCCTGTTTAAAACTAAGAACTGAACACAGATTAAAAGCATATTCCATCATGCTACTGAGTTGATATGGTTAAAACAGCTTGACAATAGTGCAACATATGAGAGTGTTAAATATTATTTAATAAGTGATAGTGAGTATAATTACATAGGAAATATTTTTTAGGGGAGTAGAAAAATATCTTTTTCTTAAAATTAATATAAGTACGTTAGTAGTGTCAAAAGGAACGTTATAAGGGAAACGAAATGGCAAGTGCACCAAAATCCGTGCCGGTGTACACAAAGAAACGATAAGATAATATCATACCTTTACAAGGTGAAAGCAATAACCCCAGTATGAAGCTGCAATCGAGAAACCGTTTCCACATAGAAGAAGTTAACATCGATTCATTGTTATGAAACATTTTGGCTAATGTGGTTGCTTTCAAGAAAATAACCTACAGCTTTTCCAAGTGAGAATCACATGAACAGAATCAGTTTTGATTTCCTTTCCGTTCATCGAAAGTCTTGTTGTGTTATTTCGAAGATGAAGAATCCACACCAGAAAATTTCCTTGAAGCCCCACGAGTGAAAAATCCATGCAGCTATACGAAAATATTCCTAATTTATGGTGCCCAAAAATTGGCTCAACGATTCAGTTGCGTTAAAAAACAAACAAAAAAATTACATTGAGGTTCTTAAAGTGCTGCTTTCTCTGTTGTCAATACAATTATTGCCGTTTCTCTCTCTCTGTCTCTGTTTTTTTTTTTTTTGGAATGGGAAACATATGGACACGTCACCTGCCTTCCCTACTCTCCCCAACACAAACCTCTGACCATTGTGAAGCATTAAATTCTCGTTTCGCCAAAAGAGCTGATAGACTCGATTGGCCACCGACGGGGGGTGGAGCACTAGTGGCTGTGTGTAGTTTATCCTAGGATTGTTTACCGGATGTTGGGGCTATCCAAAGTGTATTAATGGTGGGAACATCATAACGAGAAAAACAAGAATAAATTTGTTGAATGAAAGCGTTTGTTGATTCCTTGGGAATTTAGAGTGCGGTTTTGATGGATGAATTTTTGCACTAGATTTTTGCGGCTTTTGGTGTTGCCCTGGTTAAGAGAGAGAGACTGCAGATTATCATCTTTTGGCTCGGATGACTGGCAAGATTAAAATGGCGAGCTTCTGAGCTCTTCTGGTTACGATGCGTCTTGGCAACATCCTCGCACTTAAACATGACACGACCAGTGTTTCCCCGGTCAACCAGCGTTGGGTCTCAGCCGCCGTTTTCCGGTGGCGCTGCTTTGAAATACTTTATTCGAGTCCCAACAAATACCATTTCTAAGGCTGGTCTGCTGGAGTGTTTCCTTCAGGTAAATTGCTCTCTGATCTTGTTGCTGATTGTTTACGATTTACCCGTTGAGGGCCGGTTCTCAAACCCAAACTGACAGACTCGACAAAAAAGCCAAAAACAGTTCAGTCGGGTCAACTTGAATCTGGTTCCAGAACAAAATTCAACCGATAACATGGTGAGAATCCTAAGTGTTTTTCCGTCCACTTTTCATTGCACGATATTTCTAAAGCCTTATTGTCAGCTGGTGTAACTTTTCTATCCATAACTGGAATGGACATTACTTTTGATTTTTTTCCGACGTTTGGGAATGACATATAAATTATATAGTTATTCGTTAGTATTTGTTGCTTATTTATTTTACTTTTTAAATTTACTGTCTTAATAATTTTTTGGATTACGTTTAGAAAAATAGTTGATGGACATTAAAAAAATGGAATTTAGTTTATGCGAATTAATAACATTGACACTAACAATAACAAGGAATGATAGAGAATTCAAAAAGTGTATAGTAACTATAACATAAACGTTGATAGTACAAACTTTTAAGAAGAGCAACGAGCAACCTACTGCCGACCCCTATCGGGATCGGTCGGTTTCAGTGTTGCTCAAAGAATTTAAAAGGCAAAAAGAGGAGACTTTGAAAACGTTGGCAAGATGGTATCCACTTCGATCCTATATGTAGCAAGCCAATCCACGTCCGAAAATACTAATGAATGGTTCTCTTCACAAGGATACCGATTTGAAACCATACTAGGTCATTAGTTTTATTTGCCAACGACGAAAATTACTCCGCTTTTTCGTTTTTTAGCGTTGCTTAAAATATGTCACCCTGGGTCGAACCTGAGATTATGTGGGGGAGCTATTGAATACACAATGCTCTTTACAATGTTCTGTATTTTCTAAACGTGAAAAATCAGACGCATAGTGACAAGTTCCTTTCGTACTATTATTCGTCGTCAGAGCTTACTCTTGGAAATGGTTAACGTCAATCTTATCATTCTAAATAAGAATGTAGAGTTCGGCAAAAGGAGAGTCCTTTTGTCGAAGTCCTTGCACTGATTTAGGTTTTTTGTGTCAACCTTTCTATCACAAACACAATGCATGAGTTCTTGATGCTTGCCATTTTCACAACCAATTTAATACACTGTAAAATTATGAATATATGAAAATCATATATGTGAACTGCGGAGTGAAGAATTATTAGAAGGAAGATCATCGCAGTCATATACGCAACTTATGCAATTGAGAATTGATTGTTGCCTAAAACTGCCGCAACCTGAGGATTTGCCTTCGAGGCCATCACTTTTCTATTCCTTGGCGCATGTTAAAGATTCTAATGAGTCAAGACTTATTCCAGAATGCTCTAAAATCCAAGTCTCTGTTTCATTATCGTTTATGCATTGCTCTTTACCATTTTTGAGAAAAGAGCAGAAAAGCAACGACGACGACGAAGGCAAAGAGAACAGAAAAAAGTAATACGGTTAGATTCACAGCAAAACAACAAGTTTGCACGTGCTTCACGCTTTCTTGTACATTGCTTTACCGTCGTAGCACGACCACGACGTGACACTGCCCAATTTCAGTTTTTCTAAAGGGCGTGATCACAAGACAGCTATTTTAAATTCGTATTTTAATCACATATATAGTCCTTTAGAATTCTACTCCACAAAAATTCACCAACATTTGACAAATTGAACGCGATGGAATAACAGCCATGAGTTTTGAAACAGCGCGAATTCACTTTTTAAGAGACGTTTTCGCTACCGTCGTCGTCGTCGTTGCTTCCTTCGACTGGGAGCCACTAAAGTTTCTTCATTCTTTCCTTGCCTCTTCACTGTCCAGGAAGTTTTTAATCACGGCAAAGTTACAAAAAATCTGGACTTCACGGCGTTATTGTTCTTGGGTAATAGAAACAGTCTCAGGGAAAATATAACAACTTTTTGGAGTGGCTATGTTTTTAAGTAATTTTAAAAGAAGTTAAAAGAATATAAAAAGGAAAGGAATAGAGTGACAGTAAAAAACTGAATATCGAATTTCGCACTTTTTCATCTGAGATGGTAATGTGACATACATTCTAGCATCGTAAATCAAACGAGACCTTAAAAAACTACTTGGACGATATTTTGTGATGTTTTAACTACATTTTCCAGAAAAAATGAAAAGCTTCCTTTTTCTTTCCAGCCTCGTTTTGAAATTACAATGGCATTACATTTTTTTAAGCCTCAATGCGGTACTTATTTGATTTTGGTTATATCAAGACCTTTGGGCTTACTCAGGGGAGGCACTTGCAAACTTTTTTCTTCCAAATGGGGCGCTTATTCGAGTAAATACGGTCTGTGGCACCAAGGAAGGATAATGTTGTCCCTTTGAAATTGTTCCCTAACATCCCCATAAATTTTGCGCCAAATTTGATATTTTCTTCCACCAAGCACGACGATTTTGACTTTTTAAAAGTCACCTCACAATTTGTTTCACCATTAAAAGGGAGAACATTAACAAGTAATACATGGTCCCAAACACAATCTTTCAGACCAACACAAAGTCCTTGTCCCCGAAAACTGTCTTATAAACACTTATTATATATGAACTTTACTTAGATTCCAGGCTACTACTCTTTTTCCAACTTGAGCTATAGAAGACACAGTCCATTTAAGAACAGAACCAAGACAGCGCATACCAATGGTTCACCCAAAGTCATTTTTAACTTTTCAACTTACACTGTATGTGCAGCATTACATGAATTCCGCTCTTCACAAACTAAAGGCACACAAACTTGAATTAAAGCACCCATATGTGCCAAAATTTATTAAATTTATTTGCAATTTTTTGAATAGTTACTCTTACCGAGAATCTGGGGCAGATGGGGGGGGTGCAGGCCTCAAATGCATTTTTGAGGGCAGGTTTCACCTCGAGAAATTGTTAGGTAAATATACCAAAGAGCAGTCCAAAAGTATCACGTCTTCCATACTCATAACACTGTCATAATAAAACTGGAATCAGTTTTAACCTTCAACCCCACTCTCTTTTCTCCCCACATTAAATAGAATGTGTTTCTTTTCTTCTTAAGAGTTTTACCTCGGTCTTCAGATATGAGGTGCTTGGGGAAAAAAATGTCACTTCAAGGCTTGCCCGTGTAAGATACAACATAGCATGACTAAAATTGAGATCAGATTAGGTTCACTCAGGTAAAGTGAAGAACAGCTGTATGGAGATGTTAAAAGTCAAAATTAAATTCAGGTAACTGGTTAAAATTTTTACTTACCGATAGTTTTTCCTTTCATTCCTAGCCCTAGTTCATGAATAATT